ATTTTATCCAACAGAAGAATCAAGACCTGATTATATTTGTATTGATAAAGGTTGTCAAGTGTTTGCAACTGCAGTAGCCAATGGAAGTTGGGATATTTGGAAAAAAACTACTCGATTTATTGTGGATGCCTACCACTATATCAATCATCGGGTGTTAGATTTTCTATGCCGAAAATATTGTAATCCCTCACCTGGAGATGGATCTGCTCCAAACCTTGTAGTCATGGCATATGATAAGAATGGTAGAGCATATTTGAAGCGAGCATTCAATACACAGGTATTTATTACTTTATTTAGATTCAATCTCACCTCAACACTGTATTACATCTAGGTTTGTGAACAACTTAATGCATGGCTTGGTGGATATCAATCAATTCTCAAACGTATGACACCTGGAAATTTCAACTGGTTTTTACACACCATGCTGTTCTATCACACAAAGTATGTCCTCCACAAACAAGAGATGAAGAAATCAGATGAAGATGAGGAGGAAAACTTAGGTTTAGATGAAGAAGCTCAAGATGATGAGGACAACTAAATAGTAGTGAAGAGAAAGAGGTGTGCAGAAGTGCATATTAGTGTAAATGTATAGTTAACTGAATAGTAGTAAAGAGAAGTATGCATAGTAGTAAAGAGAAGTATGCAGAAGTGTATATTACTGTAAATTAACATATACTTGCATTTAAATAGAGGTTTTATACCTTATTCTTCTCATATCCTGTCCCATTCCAGTGGAATTCCCCTGGAATCCACAGGAATTCCACAGGAATTCCACAGGAATACACAGGAATTCCACAGGAATACACAGGAATACACAGGAATTCCACAGGAATTCCACTGGAATGACTAGATTCCTGCAGGAATAGGTGGGGCACTGTAAAGTACTGAAAGATATAACCAAATCCATATTTTACCCAAGTCTCTATGAGATGTAATTCAGTTTCAGTCATAGCTATGTCAAATCTTCATTAAATCTCTTGAAAATTGGTAGAATGATGGGTATTTATATGCTTTACTATTTCATATAACCCGTTTATTTTTCAGAGTAATAATGGTTGAGATACAAATGGTTTATATTGGTATAATAAATTATACGCAAAAAAACCGGTCTGGATCGGTCTGAACCGGTATCATGGACCGCACAAGACCGGTCCTAGGTGGTTCGGTTCGGTTCCCTCAATATCTGGGTCGGTCCTGGACCGGTTGCGGTCCACGGTTGCGCGTTTTCGGGGCAAAAAACCGGACTGAACTGAACCTTTAAACACTAAAGAGGATAGACGTACCATTCCGTTCTGTGTTTCCCTGCTCCCACTCTACACCACCTGCCCAACTATGCACCTGTGCATGTTCCCTCAACAGTGAGTGGTTTGAAATATGTAGTGCTGTCAGCCTCCAGGTCTAGGACATACGGTAGTGACTTACAAGGGAATGAGGTTCTGTGAATACTTATTGTGATTGCCGCTCAGCTCTGAGGCACAGGTCACGTCCATCATTGTACTGCGTACCGAAAGCACCAACATTGACAGCTTCATGTACGACAGCCCAAGTTGATTGGGTGACAATGTTGGCGGTGATCAATGTGGTGAAAGAAAAGGTCTGTCACAATTGTTACACGTTACTCCGTGCTGACTGTTTATGTTATTCAGCAAATTTGGCTTGGGAAGGTTGCAAATAAGAAACAGAAACATCGAAATCACTTGCCAACGCAACTCTTTTTCAATGTTTCTTCGCTATTTCTTGATGAAAAATTGTATGTTCAGTTCAGTTCGAACTGGTTCATATATAGTTTTCAAATTTTATCTCATGTCTGAACTGCGAACTAGAACCAACCACTTGAGCCCAGACCAGAACTGGAACCATAACTGAACTGTCCGTTTGGTTCTGCCAGTTCGGTCTGAACTGATGGTTTGGAACTGAACTTCGTCTACACTAAGGCTGGGTTGCCACAGCGGCAACGGCACTAGGGACATTGGTAGTAGTGGGCTCAATAGGAGCCATGGGAGGAATAATGGCAGAAGACTTTTTGAGAGCATTGAAAGGATTAAAAATGGGTGCGTGGCGACCATTGCGTGATGGTCCTGGTTCACCAGAAGAATCATAAACGTGTCTGTTTTGATTCCCCTTGTTGTCATAGCGGCGGAGATGGTCTAGTGCAAGATGGACATGATGATTGACTTGATCCATGTCAAGCTGACCGTTCTTGTAGAACCCTAAAGTGTCCAGGTCAGGATCAATGATGCCGCCGTCAACTGCAAAGCAGCTGAGATCGATGTCCTTGCATGAAAGGGGAATAGCTGGTAAATCCCAATCATTGCCTGAAGTAACCGACAGTGCCCCCAGAATATCCGGTTCCATGTTTACAACAAATGTTCCTGAGTAGAGGAGAGAAGGTAGGTTGAGTGGTGTGGTGAGACATTGAGTAGAATATAATGATAGTGGGAGGGGCCGAAGGATGGGTGGGTGGGTAGAAAAGGGAGGATTGAGAGATGGGGGCGCAATCTCAATGGATTTTTAGCCCTTCAATGGAATTGTCCTCGATCAGGTCAATGTGGCCTAGTAAAATTTGAAAATCATTTTTGGGGGGTTTACCATGACCATCTGGTAGTTCGGCAATTGCGTCAATGCCAAGTACATCAAGATACTGTTGGAGCATGTCAAGGTGGTTAAAATCTTATGGTAAGGAAGCCAAGTAATGTCACCCGATTTCCAAACAATCTCAAACAATGCATCAGTTTTGGCACCTGAGTGCGACTTGATACACTCTATGGCCCATTCATGTTCTGCATCCTCAAACTCCCACATCTGGTTATCCAAACGACCAGGGAACAGCCTGTCATCATTAGGTACATGAATCCATAATAATGATGCATGAAACACATCATGAATTCCTCTTTGTTTTAATCTAGCTGAAATTTCGACTTTATAGGAATTATTTCAATAGTCTTTTATGACCAGGTAAGGTCCAATGTATTTTGGGACAAGCTTATGAGCCAGTTTCTTAGGGATTGTCATATTCTTTGTAGAAATATAGACAAGATCGCCCTCCTTGAATGGAGACAGTTGACGGCAACAATTCGCCATGCGTGTCTGCTTGACCCGAGCAGCCAAGATACTATCGTGAGCTGTCATTACAGCTGACTTAATTTTTTGGGCAAAGGGTGCTAATGCCAGGATATTCAGAACTTTCTTGTGAGTTCCAAATAAAGGAACGTGGCATGTGGCCATTGTTTAGAAAAAACAGTGCATAACCTGTGCTTCCAGCCATGGCAGAGTTAATTGCAAACTCAATCCCAGGTAATCTCATGCACCAATCCTTCTGATTTGGGCTCACACATTGTCTAATCATTTGCGTAACAGTGCAGTTAGCCCTTTCTGTGGAGCCATCAGATTCAGGGTGGTAAGCACTTGACATGTTTAATTTTGTGCCTATTAACTCATGTAGCTGCTTCCAGAACGTGCTCGTAAAAAGCACATCACAGTCACTCACAATTGAGCTGGGTAGATCATGGTGCTTGTATACCTCAGCAAAAACTAACTTGGCAACCTGGCATGCGGTGTAGTTGATGTGTCCTGGTACCAGGTGGACCATAGCCATGAGTAAACAAATTATTACAACAATACAATCATACACTGCATCATGATCTTTAGATTCAGGTAGTGGACCCACGAAATCAATACCAATCGATTCCCAAGGTCTCGTAGGAACAGCCAGGGGGTTTAATAACCCGTAAGGTTTTTGATTAGTAGGTTTGCTACATTTACAAGTGATGCATGAGTTGCAATAGGTTTAAACATCATTTATCATCTCTTTCCACCATACATGGTCTCGTAAGTAGGCAATAGTTTTTTCAGCACCTAAGTGAGCCAATAAGGAGTGAGCTTCTGAAATTACGAGCTCACAGACATTATGTCCCTGAATTTCGACTTTTGGAATACAAAGCAATTTGACCCTGTTTTGTTTTAAAAAGATTAAGTCTTCACAGATCTCAAAATTCTTGAAGTGCTTCGGATTTTCAAGTACTTGATGAAAAACCAAATCCTTATTATATTTTCCTGCAAGTTCTTTTGGCAAATCAATACTGCTAATGCTGTTCTGCATATGCTCAACAAGCGTTTGTGGTGGGAGCGAAGCATCCACGGCGTCCTTTGGTGATTCAGTGGCCAAGGCTATGTTTGGCTTGTCGTGTGGTGCAGAAGGTAAGTTATCTCTGGTGATCTGTTCAGATCCTGATGCGATTGATTCCATGTCATTATTTTTAGACAAAGTTTGCTTCTGTGCGGGAATGCAAATAGTCAACTTTTCCTTCCCTTTGTCCTTCATGTTCTCATCAGTCTTTCTTTCCACAGGACCTTTCAAGACAATGTTGCCTTTCATGTGTGCAGCAAATTCACACAAAGTCTCAGGATGACCAGTTTCAGCAGGCTCAGGCTTTTTGTGCCCACGGCGCTTGGGCATTGACACTGCCTCGCCCTCCTTTCCAACAAGGACCAGCATCAAAATAGCACACACGCTTAGCACGTCATTATCTATCACATCGTGGTATGTGTATTCACTTCTCGCGTGTACAGTACCAGGTTCATCATTTGAGTACAGATGAGATAGAGCGTCTGACAGGATGTTTTCAGTGCCAGGTACGTACATTACTTCAAAATCAAACTTGGAGACGTTTTCTAACCAATGCGCTTGCCTCCCAGATAGGTCGCGTTGATTCAATAGGTGAATAAGGCCTTTGTGATCTGTGTACCAACGAAATTTAATGCCTTGAAGTATGTCTCGATGCCTCAACATGGTTTCAATTCCTGCTAACATCTCTATTTCGTGAACAGGGTAAATTTTCTGGGCAGAGTTCAGCTTGGCTGAGAAGAACGCTGCGACCTTAGCAGTCTTCCAGTCCTTGCCTTGGCTAATAACTCCTGCAATCCCTGTGGTACAGCTGTCTGTCACAACATTGAGAGGTGGAGCGTTTTCACCATACTTCTCCGGCTTCCTATGGTGGTCCTTGCACAATACTGCAAGGTTTTTTATACCTTCAAAAGCTCACTGGTGAGTGTATTCCCAATGAAACGGAACAGTGTCACCCATTAACACATGGAGTATGCCCATAGGAACTCGAACGCGGTCGATGTCATCTGCCAGAAATCCAGCTGCTCCAAGAAATCCTCCAAGGAGGTCTCAGTTCATCAGCGTCTTCCAGCAGATGAGCGCGTCGACTTTATCCAGATCCATATGGATACCTTCATCATCAACAATGTGGCCAAGGATTTTTACTTCATCACATAGAAAATTCAGCTTTCATTCAGTAAGAAAAAACTTCTTTCTTCTTAGTATATCAATAACTATTTTAACATGTTTCACATGATCCTCCAGATTGTCTGAATATACCATGACATCGTCCAGGTATATGTCAACGAATTGGCCAAGATACGGTGTGAATAGGTCATTCATGACCATCTGGAATGTTGCTGGCGCATTACAGTCACCTTGCTGCAACACCTCGCTTAACATAGGGCCATCAGGAGTTGCCATGGCCGAATTCTCAACGTCGCAAGGATCAATACGAATCTGTTTGAATGTGTTTTGCAGGTCAATCACCAAACGATGTTTCGCATGAGAAACTCGATGCAAGATTCCATCCATGTCCGGTAATGGGGAAGTAATCTTGTGAGTGTTCGCATTCTGTTCTCTCAAATCGTTAACACAGCATAGGCGTATGGGTTCTCCAGGCTTTCCTGGTTTCTGTAGAAATAACATCGGCATCGTGTTGAACAACGTTGTTGGATGCCAGCAACCGCTTTTCAAATAAGCATCGCACTTTTCATTCCAAAGTGGTTTCAATGCGTCTGGTCAACCCGAGGGACGATATTTGTAGGTTTTATTTGGATCAATCAGTACTTTACCCTCCCCGGGTTATTCCATATGGAATGGATGGAATGGGGGGGTGGACTGCACAAATTCCAGATGGATTCCATGGAAGGGGGGGATGGATTCCATGGAAGGGGGCAGTACTTTATTGTGCCCTACCTATTCCTGTCGGACTCCAGTCATTCCTGCGGATTCCGGTGGAATGGGACCGGACTCCGGTGGAATCCGCAGGAATGGGACTGGAATCCAGTGGAATCCAGCGGAGTCCTGCGGAATCCAGCGGAATCCAGCGGAATCCAGTGGATTCCAGTTGAATAAGACCACAATCCACCATAAATAGCAGTACTTTACCCTCTCCCACATGCTCTGATCAGAGTATCTACAATCAGAATGGATCAGCACTGATCTAGAGGTCAGGTGACTTAATCTGCATTGATTCAACTCAATACTCAGAATTTCTTATAAAATTCACTTCTAGTCAAGTCATTCATCTCAATAAATCAAATTTTAATGTATTTTATTAATGACATGAGTCTATTTTACTACATACAGTGCATATTAAAGAAGGGGATGGATAAGGGGCAGGGACAAGGAAATGGGGAGGGACAGGGAAGGGGGCAGGGAAAAGGAAGGGGGCAGAGACAATGAAATGGGGGAAGGAGGTAGGGACAAGGAAATGGGGAGGGACAGACAGGAAAGGGGGGAGGGAAAAGGGGGTACATGGAAATGGGGAGGGACAGGGAAGGGGGATGGGAGTACATGGAAATGGGGAGGGACAGGGAAGAGGGGCAGGAAAAGGAAGGGAGGGACAGGGAAGGGGGAGGGACAATGCACTCGTCGTCGTCGTGTGATGTCGTGGTGGCTGTTAGCGAGATGGGATAGGATGAAGGAGAGTCAGGGGACTCACCTTTGTGTGAACGACGAACGACGACGTTTGGTTGCCACATCGCTGACAGCGACGTGGCACCTTGGTTTCCCATCGGCGGGGGCACGTCGTCGTGCGTTGACGTGGGTGTCCGTTGGCGTGGTCATCGTCCATTGACGTGGTGGTGGTGCGTTGACGTGGTCGTCCGCTGGCGTGGTCGTCGTCCGTTGAGGTGGTGGTGCGTTGACGTGGTCGTCCGCTGGCGTGGTCATCGTCCGCTGGCGTGGTCGTCGTCCGTTGACGTGGTCGTGGTCCATTGACGTGGGCGTCCGTTGGCGTTTGACGTGGGCGTCCGTTGACGTCGTGGGGCGTGTCGTGGTTCGTGGGCGTGGTCATGGTCGTCGTGGTCGTCCCTCGTGGTCCGTTTTCGTCCCTCGCCGGGGCTCGTTTGCTTGCTGACGTGGCGTTGCCGCGTTGTTGATGTGGTCGTTGTTGGCGGTCGACGACGTTTGTGGGCGGTGGTGGCCACAGCTGACCGTGGTGACGTGGCGTGGGTGGGTAGCGGGCGCGCGTTTACGAGGAGCGGGGACGTTGGTGGTGGTGGGAGGAGAGGTTAGTGGTGGTGGGAGAGAAGAGGGTTGTATTTGGATGAGCGTGAAAGCCGTTGCCAAACAAACAATTGTTTGGCAATGGGCTTGTGCCAAACAAACCGGATTCCGGTTGCATTCCGTTTTTGCCAATCCGGGGACCATTCCGGTCACAATTCCGGAATGCCGAAATTCCGCCGGAATGGTAAAGCACCGGAATGGAGAAAATAGCAGGCCTCTCTGCTAAATTTCACTCCTCCGGAATCCACCGGAATCCACAGGAATGACCGGAATCCTACAGGAATTAGGGGGGCACTGATAAGACCTCGAAGGGGGGATGGATTCCATACTTTTGGTGGATGGATTCCATGAGTTTTCCACATGGATTCCATACTTTATTCCATATGTCCTATACCATTTTTAGGGTGGAATCCATATGGACTCCATATGGAATCCACATGGAATGACTTTATGGAATAATTCATAAGTCCACATTATGGAATCATGGTTTCTTTACTCCATGGTCATATCTGAGCAGGAAAAATTGAAATGTATTGAATAGACTACACAATTTATTTTTACTACTTTCAATATTTAAGGGAGGAGGAAGACAGGGGAAGTGATGGAGGGGGGAGGGTGTAGGGAGTGATGGAGGGGAGAGGGAGTGATGAAGGGAGGGGTGGGAATGGATGGAAGGGGAGTAATAGGAGGGGGAGTGATGAAGGGGGGGAGAAATGGGAGGGAGAGCAACAGAGGGAGGGGTAGCAACAGAGGGAGGGGGAGCAACAGATGGAGGGGAGTGATAGAGGGAGTGGTGTGTGGAATAATGAAGGGGGTGGTGGTGTGGAGTGATGGAGGGAGGGGGAGCTCACCTGGGCTCGTCGTTGCCCATTTCCGTTGACGTGAGCGGAATCCTCTGTGCATGGGCGCGTGTCTTCGTCCGTGGGCGCTCTGGGTCGTCGGTTGTGCGTGGTGTGCTGTATTGGCGTCCGTGGGGCTGGGCTGCCGTTTCGTTCGTCTTCGCGTTGTCGTTTGCGCGTTGCGCTCGTGGGCGTTCGTTGTCGTGCATGGGCATTCGTGGGCATTCGTTGTTGTGTCGTGGGCGCTCGTGGGCATTCGTTGTCGTGGGTGGGCGTTCGTGGGTGGTGGGGCCGTGTGGGGCAGTGGGCGTCATTCGTGGGTGGGCGGATTTGGTCGTTGTCGTGTCGTGGGCACTTGTCTTCGTGGGCGGTCGTCTTCCTGGGCGGTCGTTGATGTTGGTGGGTGCTCGACTTCGTCGGTGGGCGGTCGTGGTTGCGTCATGACGTGGCACCGTCCTTGTCCCCGGTGGTGTCGTTCTGTTGTGGTCGTGCCCTGTTGTTGTCGTGTCATGTCCTCGAATTGTTGCCACGTCGCTGTCTGCGACGTGGCCCCTGGATGTGGTGTGAGACGGAAAGAAAGGGGGTGGGTGCACTCACCTGATCAGCTTGGACAGTGACGACGGCATGCGTCGTCACCGTCTGGACGACGTGGCACACCTGCCACGTCGTCTTCACCTCCTGGGCGCTCGTCAATTGGTCGTGGGTGGTCGGTGGCGACGTCGTGTGTCCTCGTGCGTCATCAGCGTCGTCGCGTGTCGTCGTTGTCGATGTCGCAGGCGCCCGTGGTTTGTGGCGGTGGTGAGGGATGGTGGATGGTGGTGGTGGGGAAGGAAGGAACGACGTGGGTGACGTTCCAGCTACAGCTGTCACACATATGACGCCACGTGTGCTGGTGTGGTATATACTAATATAGTTACCTTTATCTTACTGTATAATAAGGCCTGCATGGCTCAGTTGGCTTTAGCTCTACTGTTGTCCACGACATCGAGGGTTCAATTCTCTTCAGTGCAAAACTTATTTTTATTTAAATATAGTAAGGACACCATAAATAATATGTTTATATGTATTCTAATGGTATACTGGCCTTCCATGGTCTTCCATGGAATCCATATGGACTGCTCCATGGACTCCAGTGTGGGTATGCCTGCATTCCATATGGAGTGGTGTTGGAGTCCATATGGAATTAATCATTCCATGACCATTCCATCATCATTCCATATGGAATCCATGATGTCTATGGAATAAGAAACTGGCTGGGTCCTCAGCCAACATTGATTCCATGGATTCCATATGGAATTCTTCATGGATTCCGAGGTCTTATCAGTGCCCCCCTAATTCCTGTAGGATTCCGGTCATTCCTGTGGATTCCGGTGGATTCCGGAGGAGTGAAATTTAGCAGAGAGGCCTGCTATTTTCTCCATTCCGGTGCTTTACCATTCCGGCGGAATTTCGGCATTCCGGAATTGTGACCGGAATGGTCCCCGGATTGGCAAAAACGGAATGCAACCGGAATCCGGTTTGTTTGGCACAAGCCCATTGCCAAACAATTGTTTGTTTGGCAACGGCTTTCACGCTCATCCAAATACAACCCTCTTCTCTCCCACCACCACTAACCTCTCCTCCCACCACCACCAACGTCCCCGCTCCTCGTAAACGCGCGCCCGCTACCCACCCACGCCACGTCACCACGGTCAGCTGTGGCCACCACCGCCCACAAACGTCGTCGACCGCCAACAACGACCACATCAACAACGCGGCAACGCCACGTCAGCAAGCAAACGAGCCCCGGCGAGGGACGAAAACGGACCACGAGGGACGACCACGACGACCATGACCACGCCCACGAACCACGACACGCCCCACGACGTCAACGGACGCCCACGTCAAACGCCAACGGACGCCCACGTCAATGGACCACGACCACGTCAACGGACGACGACCACGCCAGCGGACGATGACCACGCCAGCGGACGACCACGTCAACGCACCACCACCTCAACGGACGACGACCACGCCAGCGGACGACCACGTCAACGCACCACCACCACGTCAATGGACGATGACCACGCCAACGGACACCCACGTCAACGCACGACGACGTGCCCCCGCCGATGGGAAACCAAGGTGCCACGTCGCTGTCAGCGATGTGGCAACCAAACGTCGTCGTTCGTCGTTCACACAAAGGTGAGTCCCCTGACTCTCCTTCATCCTATCCCATCTCGCTAACAGCCACCACGACATCACACGACGACGACGAGTGCATTGTCCCTCCCCCTTGCCTGTCCCTCCCTTCCTTTTCCTGCCCCTCTTCCCTGTCCCTCCCCATTTCCATGTACTCCCATC